AGCGGGGATATGCGCTATACAAATGCTATCTATTATTATTATTATTATTATTATTATGTCATGCAATTTTAAGGTTATTTTTCTTGTTGTAACGCCATTTTTTTTGCTTTGCCTAAACAAGATCAATGGGGTTGAGGTGTGCTTGATAAGCCGGCTGTCTGAGACTTGTATGAACATGCTTAGAAAATCCTGATTTTTAAAAGAAGTCTATAACGTCATATGAATATGTGGGACTTGATACAGTTTAATTAAACGTATCTCTCATGAAATTGAAGAAGAAATTTAACTTTATTTTTCATTGCCGAAATTTTGCCCATCAGAGGAAATTGTTAATCACCCCCCTCCCCCCTATCCTGACCCGGCCCTGTTACAGAAATATGCAATGTTTAACCCATGATAAGAGATACCTGCACAACCTGCACTTTTTCAGTATGGAAGCTTTGTTTAACAAATGAGCGTTTTATGTGATATGATGTGGGCCTTAACCACTGAGTAAAATTACTTACTCACAACTGTGCCTAGAAAGTCCGGTTTGGGGGCATCAAAAGGGAATGGAACGACGTTATATTTGTGCGAAGCCAGGCTTCTATATATCCGTCTTTCGACAGCTCAAAGATGATACCTTATCTTGTACTTCAAATTTACGGTTACGACAACTCGCGTTATTCATTACGATACTCGGCAGTCTATCTAGTGGGGGAAGCACGTTATGTCTTGTTATCCAATTTTCAAATGTCTGACTTTTCATTTCCGCGTGATGATCTCTATTGTCATCAGCTGACTTTTATAGGAAAACAAGTGCAGGGGCAGATCAAGAATCCTAAGACCTTTATCTTCTTTGGGCCAGATACAAGCCCTATACGTCGTGTTCTTGCTACCAACATAGGTGATGATCAGCTTTTCACCTTTACTGTTGAAAACATTAAATGTTGTCCCCTCCTCCCATCTGTTGATTGCCATTCTCTTTCCTTGGTGTGGTGTGCATTTATCCACGTTTCATCGGGATATAGTATATCGTAGCCCTCTAACCGTTTGTGCTGGACTAAACGTAAGTAGATTTTTAATTTTTTTTTGACGGTACGAGATCAGATCTTTCGCATTAAATCTTTTAACTGTGTCCAGCTCGCAAAGAGATAGATCTACATGCAAACAGGTACAGCGACTCTTATATACAATTGTCCCCAACGTGATGTTCCCGCTGTTTATATGCAGTTCAGTTTCCATATGATATTTATTTCAGATTCCGCTCAGACAGCAGCTCATTCTTTTGAAACAGTTTAACGATTAATAATCTCTTGATGGTACATTGGTACATTGGTCAAAATTATAAAAATTATCTATGTGGCACATTTGTTTTGTGGTTCACCACGTACACACTGATATTTGTGCCAGTTTAATAGCATGTGTGTGTGTGTGTGTGTGTGTGTGTGTGTGT